CCATTTCTCATTTCTCAGATTGGATTTCGTCGTGTTTATTTCTGATTTCGCATTTCTTATTTCGCCTTTTTCATTTCGTATTTCTCAGTACGAAAATTTCATTTTGAATTATTTTACAACTATTTTCTCATTTCTTTTGATTTCTGACTACACACTTTGAGAAATAAGTTTCGCACTTCTTCTCACTTGTTCTCATTTCTCATTTTGCATTAGTCATTTCGCATTTCTGACTTCTCATTCTGATTTCTTCTTACTTCTCATTTGTTATTTCTTCACATTTCTGATTTTTTATCTCTCATTTCGCATTTTTATTACTTATTTCTTGTTTCTTATTTCTTTCAAGGTATTTCTCATTTCTTGTTTCTTCTCTTTCTTTATTTCTCAACTCTATTTCGCATATCTCACTTCACATTTCTTCTATTTTTTAATTTCCACTCATTTCTCAATTTGCATTTCGCATTTCTTAATTATTGTCTCGAAATCATTACGCATTTATATTTTTCACTTCGCATTTCTCATTTCGTATTTCTTATACATATACTGTCAGAAAAAAAACCGGACATTTGAATATTTGTAACTTGCTAATGTTATAATTGTTTGTACTTTTTTCTGTTTCAACATGTTTGAGAATAAAGTTATGTTTTCTGTTAATGAATACATTAATGTTTTGCTCTTTTGAACATTCTTTTCAAAGGTTCGATCAATTGCAGGTAATCACAAAAATTTAAGTGTCCGGGTTTTTTTGTCTGGCAGGGTATTTTCTAATTTTTTTTCCATTTCTTATTTCTTCCCTTTCCTCTTTTCTTATTATTTCACATTTCTCATTTTGTATTTCTCATTTCGCATTTCGCACTTCGCATTTCTTCTATTTTCTCATTTATTCTCATTCTTCATTTCTTATTTCGGAATCACTTCGCGTTTTTAATTTCTCATTTCGTATTCCTCATGTCTAGTTTCTCATTTCGCAATTCTCAGTTCGCATTTCTCATTTCGCGCTTCTCATTCCGCATTTATCATTCCTTTTATTTCCTCATTTCTTCTCTCATTCTGCATTTTGCATTTCACGAGTGAGTATAGATATTTAAATACATACATAGTCACTGATTTCACATTTCTCATTTCGTATTTCGCATTTCTTATTTTTTGTTTGTCTTTTCGCCTCATTTCTTCTTTTTTCGCATTTCGCATTTCCTCCTGTCTTTCTCATTTCTTCTCTTTTTTCATAATTTTTTTGCATTTCTTATTTTTTCTCATTTATTCTCATTTCTCATTCCTAATTTTGCATTTCACTATTCTCACTTCTCATTTCACAATTCTTCTATTTTCTCATTTCTTCTCGTTTCTCATCTCATTCCTCGTTTCGCATTACCTACTGCTTATTTCGCATTTCTTCTCTTATCTCATTTTGCATTTCCTCTAATTTCTTCTCTTTCCCCACTTCTCATTTCTCATTTTGCATTTCGCATTGCTTATTTGTTCATTCCGGGTTTATAATTTCTCATTTCGGATATCTTATTATTTCCCATTTTTTATTTTTTCTCTTTTCTTTTTCTCAACTCTCATTTCGCATTTTGCTTTACGCATTTCTCTTTTCATATTTCGCATTTCACATTTCTCACTTTACATTTTCTGTATTTTTCCATTTCTACTCATTTTTCATTTTCCATTTCGTATTTCTCATTTCACATTTATTCTATTTTCTCATTTATTCTTATTTCTTCCGTTTCCCCTCTTCTTATTTTTTCACATTTCTCATTTCTCGTTAATGTCTACTCATTTTGCAATTTCACATTCCGCACTTCACATTTCTTGTATTTTCTCATTTATTCTCATTTTTCATTTCTTATTTCGGAATCATTTCGCGTTTCTAATTTCTCATTTCGCCATTCTCATTTCTCACTCCTCATTTCGCATTTTTTATTTTGCATTTCTGATTTCGCATTTCTTCTATTTTCTCATTTATACTAATTTTTCATTTCTTATTTCGGAATCATTTCGCGTTTATAATTTCTCAGTTCGCATTCCTCATTTCTAATTGCTTATGTGTCAATTCTCAATTCGTATTTCTCAATTCGCTCTTCTCATTACGCATTTCCCATTTTGCACTTCTCATGACGCATTTATCATTTCTTCTCTTTCTAAATTTGTTCTTTTTTCTCATTTCTTATTTCTTCTCATTTCACATTTATTCCGTTCTCTCATTTTGCCTTTTACGTTTCACATTTCTCATTTCGTATTTCCCATTTCTTATTTCTCGTTTCTCATTTCGCATTTCTCATTCTACATTTTTTGATTTTCTCATTTCTTTTCATTTCTTATTCCTCATTTCGCATTTATCGTTTTTCATTTAGCATTTCCCATTTCTTTCCTTTTCTCATTTTTCATTTCTTATGTCTTCTCATTTTTCATTTCCTCCCATTTCTCATTTCGCATTTCACATTTCTCACTTTTCATTTCTTCTCATTTCGTATTCCTCGGTTCGAATTTTTCATTTTGAATTACATATACTTTCTCATTTCTTCTGATTTCTCATCTCTCATTTCACACAAAAAATAAGTTTGGTAATTCTCTCATTTCACATTTCGCGTTTCTCCTTCTGCACTTCTTCATTTCCAAATTTTTCTCACTTCTCATTTCCTATTTTTTCACATTTCTGATTTTTCATCTCTCCTTTCGCATTTCTTATGACTTGTGTTTCTTCTTTCTAATTTCTTATTATTTGTCATTTCTTAGTTCTTCTTTCGCAACTTTTATTTCGCATTTCTCTTTTCTCATTTCCAATTTCGCATTTCTCACTTCATATTTCTCCTATTTTTCCGTTTCTACTTATTTGTCATTTTGCATTTCGCATATAATATTTCGCAATTCGTATTTGTTCAGTCCGCGTTTATAATTTCTCATTTCGGACTTCTTATTTCGCATTTCGCACTTCTTATTTCGCATTTCTTCTCTTATCCTATTTCACATTTCTTACTTCGCATTTTCTCTAATTTCTTCTCTTTCCCCATTTCTCATTTTGCATTTCGCCTTTTTTATTTCTGATTTTGCATCTCTTATTTCGCATTCACTCCCATTCCTTGTCATTTCTTTTCTTTTTCTATTTTATTCGCATTTTTCATTAGCTTTTATTATTTCACGTTTTTTTCATTTCATATTCCTGATTTCGCATTTCGCATTTCTCGTTTCTCGCTTCTTATTTCGCATTTCCCATTGTCACTTCTCATTTCCCATTTATCATTTCTTTTCCTGTCCCTCATTTTGCATTTTCCATTAAACACTTTTCGTTTTGTATTTCGCATTTTCTTTTCTCGTTTCTCATCCCGCATTTATTTTCATTTCTCATTTCCCATTTCTTCCCTTTTCTCACTTCTCATTTCTTATTTCCTCTCATTTATAATTTCTTCTTTTTTCTCGTTTCTTCTCTTTTTTCATCTTGCATTTCTGATTTCGAATTTCTTCTATTTTCTCGTTTATTCTCATTTTTCATTTCTTATTTCGGAATCACTTCGCGTTTCTAATTTCTCATTTCGCAATTCTCAACTGGCGTTTCTCATTTCCCACTTCTCATTACGCATTTATCATTTCTTCTCTTTCTGAATTTTTTCTTTTTTCTTATTCTTTCTTCTCATTTTTTCTCTTTCCAAATTTCTTCTTTTTTCTCATTTCTTATTTTTTCTCATTTCTCATTTATTCCATTCTCTCATTTTGCTTTTTACATTTCACATTTCTCATTTTGTATTTCGCATTTCTTATTTCTCGTTTCTCATTTCGCATTTTCTCTAATTTCTTCTCTTTCCGCATTTCGCATTTTGCATTTCGTCTTTATTTCTGAGTTCGCATTTCTTATTTCGCCTTTTTCATTTCGTCTTTCTCAATTTGAATTTTTCATTTTGAATTACATCTATTTTCTGATTTCTTCTCATTTTTCATCTTTCATTTCACACTTTAAGAAATAAATTTTTCATTTCTCATGCCTCATTTGGCATTTCGCATTTCTGATTTCGCACTTCTTCTCTTTTATCATCCGAGTTGATAAATCGAGATTTCAATAATATGCCAAAATACTGAGCGAATTAAACCGAAATTTTCAGATAATTAAGTAACGAGATAGAAAGTCACAAATTTTACTTTATTTAGACATACTGTACGGTGAAATATTTATGTCCAAGATAAATAAGTATGAAATTTTTAGAAAGTTAAAAACTTTGTCACATACTTATTTAATTGAAATACATGAACCACGTACATAAGGAAACGTTCTGCTTTCTACTTTTTGGGTCGTAGCTACTCCACAAATCCGATACGGTGCTTATCAACACGAAATTTCCACCTGAGTTAAAAAACAAAAATTTTAAAACATATTCGATGTCCCGTTTTTTTTTCTTAATATCTTCTACAAAAAATCGAATGTTTCAGAGTTAAATAAACGCTTTAAATAATTGAATACTTACCTATTTAAAATTTGAAACTTGTGCTGCATCCGACAATTTGTTCCTTTTTCATTCATAAGCAAAAGAATAATTACTACAATTTTCAGAATTATAGTTACACTTACTAACTGTACCTACTCACTAACATGGAAATTCTAAAAAAAGAATCCGCAGGTGTGAGGAAAGGCAATGAATTCAGTTTTTGCCACGAACGGAGATAATTTGTTGAAAGGAAGCCAAACCAAATACCACGTGGGTGAAAAACAAGAACTTCTGTGACGAGAATTCATATAAAATACCAACTACGGTTGGGTTTCACGTTAGAGCAAATATCTTTATAGAGTTCGAAAAATATATCAAACCTATATTAAGTAGTACAGACTTGAAAGGCTGATTATCAATATTTTTAGATTTATTTATGATACTTTTCGAGCACAACAAAATTTTTGTATTTTTTTTAAATAAGGGTATGCAATTTTTTAAAATGATAAAGATGAACTTCGCTACAAGCAGGTACGTATAGATTTTATTTTGTTTATTTTTTGGTTCAAGACAAATAAAACTACACAAGATTACGACAGTACTACTTTAGAAGTGAAGTCTATGAAGTGAAGGTCGTGTGGATTGTGGTATGATAAAAGTAAGTCGCATTTTCTTCTGCATACCAGACGAAAGGTTAACAATAAATTGTTGTCGATGGTATTAATTTCATAATGACTGTATGATTTCGGGGTTCTAGAAGTCAAATATAATTGAATATTTGTAATAATTGTGAGCAAAAATACGCGTGTAAAAGTGCATTTGCATCTCCAGCCGATTGGATTGCACCAGGAAGCGCACTGTCTGGGAGCCTCGTCTGCTGCAATTCGATGTACGTCCGAGAATTCGATGTTTACACCGCATCAAGTTAGTGAGTTTCCTAGTGACTTTTCGCCTTTCCCCTAAACAGTGAAGGTTGTGTGTGTGTCGGGTTTGCGATGTCGGATTTAGGAAGCGGAGATGAGGGTTCAAGTTCGCAAAGTGAGTAATCAAAACCCGACCAACCCTCTCTCACTCGAAAATCCACACATCCCCCCATGTCATAGTTCAAATTTATGCCCGAACTCCCTTCCGCAACCTCAAAATTCGTCGGACAAATTTGACAAGCGAACCAAAATGGCGATTTTTTCAATTGTTGCCGACCACAAAACCGCAAATTCCACGGAATCGGCCGCAAACAGCGCGAAAAGCGGCCCGCAATTTCGCCGCCCCGTCTTCCTTCCGCCTTTTTCCGCCCGAAACATGCCCGAAAGTGGGACGAGATTGCCGCAAAAGCCCTGCAACGTCTTGTATATTGCCCTAGTCTCGCAATGACCTTGGTTAACGTTAGTTAGGTTGCCTGTTCTTGTGTTGGCAAACGTGAAAACTCGCCAACTTCGACCTTATGGACCGAATTTGATGTTTTTGATCAATTGTGCCGAAAAATTCATGTAGAAACATATTTAGAGGGTTGGCGACTGTCTTTTCACCCCATTAACACCACCATGACCAGTTTTTGACTAACTTTGCCGAATTGTTGGTTTTTTAGAATATCACCAAGGAATGGAACAGGGGAGCAGCGAATATGACCCAGGTAGGCACTTGCCCTTTTTTCACCCATAAAAACACGCCGGTTCACCCCCAGACATCCACGTGCACCCCCACCGACATTCTTTACCGCGCGCTTCAACTCATGAATGAACTGGAATGAGTCATTGGATTCCAAGAAATCTCTAGTAAGACATTACTATAGACTCTATTCAATGATTCATAGTCAGTGTGTCCCCCAGTTTCGTCCGCGTTCGCGTTATCTATGTGCATTTTCAGGATTCAAATGGATCCAGATCTCAATTACGAGTGGACTTTTGGCAGAATTCAATACTGGCATGATCCAAGTATCGGTTATCGTTCAGTGAATTTTTTTTCTTATCAGTAGTGATTGTGTTACGCGAGGAATCTAACCTCTCTTCTCTATTTCCAGGTCAACAGGGTCAGGTGGAACAAGAATTGGCCACAAAAATGTTACAAATTCAAAGTAAACGGTTTTATTTAGACGTTAAACAAAATCGGAGAGGAAGGTTTATTAAAGTTGCTGAGGTGAGTCCCTAATTCTACATTAAATACCACTAACACCACGGGAATTGTCTCAGAATGACAGGCTCTAAAGTTAGGTTATGTAAAGTTACAACAATTATCCACATTCCATTTTTTTTTATCTTTATTTAGTGTCTCAATTATTTTCAAAATTGCCCCAAACCATCTAGGTTGATTATCCTAATCTCGTCGTTAAACTTGTAACCAGTTTTATTCCAATTTTGAACTTTATTGAGACCTGATGCCCACCTTAATAGGTTAGGTGCAATAACAAATTAATAACGCGGATGTTACGTCATAGAAATACTTTGGCAGGTCATCATCACCTACCACCACACATCAGATTTTTCTCACAATGTACAAACAAACATTTGATCTGAATGATAATAATAGTCAATCTCGAAAATAAATAAACGTGACATCACTCAATAAATTAGTTCTAACCCTATTAAACACCTTGACAAAACAGACTTTTATCAGCTCCCAATTATGCAAAGAATGCATTGACTGAGGTTATTTATGAAAATTGTGGGTGGTGTGGATACAATGACATCTGACAGAAGCATGAATCAGAATTTGGCCAACCAATTAAAATTCCATTTTTTTTTTTAATTTCTGGAGCAACTTATCAACCGTTCGTTAGCTCCGGTTTTCCCAGATTTTCATCACATTTATTTTTTACTCTTATTGCATCTAGTGTTTATTTAATCTATAAAAAAAACCTGTTACACAGCCGCATTTTTAGTAAATTCCGCATGGTGTAGTTGTTGTGGTTGCATGCGAAATTTGTCGTCACTTCCGGCGAATCCGAGACCTGTCATTTTGTTTTGTTGTTGTGTTTTGGATTTCGAGTTCAACTATTAGTTGTTTAAATTGTGTTTTTACAGTTTTCCTGTTGTTTTATTTAGATCGGAGCAGATGGCAGGCGTTCACAGATTTTCCTGGCCCTTTCCACTGCTGCCGAATTTAGAGATCACCTCTCTGCCTTTAGTGACTTTTATTCCTCACTGGGTAAGCGAGAATTGGACTTTATTTAAGTGTGACGTTCTGAAGGTAAAGATTGAATAATTTCGTCATTAATTTTATTTATGTTGCTTTCATGACAAAATCGTAGAATTAAAATTGGAAATTAGTCTCAAAATAAATTAAATATATCAAGCGATAACCGTTACTCTAATCGCTGAAAATAGATTAAGTACGATTTAATATAGTTTTAATTCGGTTTCAAATTGATAAATTACGTATTCATTATAGCTTATTTTGTTCATTGTGTTCAAAATCGTAATTAACGATTTTCATGAATATTGAATGGGCATGTATGTATATCAAAAGCAAATTACCACTTTGATTAGAAATCACCAGGGGACGCGGAATACCCACAAAACAAAAATGTATTAATTGTAAATCCGGAGTCGAAAATTTAACCAAAAAACCACTCGTATGGACTCGGAAATTGAGATATAATTTAGTGAAACGGTGAATGGGTAAGATTTATGTATTGCTGACGTAGCCGCGACTTCATTGATTAGTTCTTACAAACATATGACAGTTGAATGGAGATTTCAATCTCCAGAATCAGCATTTTGTACGAAGTAATGCATAAGCAAATCCGGGAACATGTGTCAGTCGTCATTATGTAAAACGAGCTGTTGATTATATTTTCAATTAAAAAAAAATGACAAAAGTATCGTTCATGTTTCTGGCGTTGAGCGATGTTTTTTTCGAAATGTAGGCGAACTTAATCAGTTTGTAGATTGAAAATCGTGGTTGTTAGTAACGAACTGTTCGTATCAGTAAATCAAGTTCAAGATTGATATATTGGTTTTAAAAATCGTAAGATTATTATTAACCGACCAGCTTGAAATTTTTAAAATATTAGATATTTAGTACTAAGTCCCTCGCGGGACTTCTCAAGTCATTTATATTTATTACTCTTAGTGGTTCGTTTCTTTCATAAGCCTTATTCCCGGAGTTGATTAATTTTGCTAAGTACTCAAATTAATCAAACCTATTGAATTAAGCAAAGATATGTAGTTCACGATAATCTAGGTTTTTTCCAAAAGGAAATACACAAGTCAGCTTTAGGTGTAATGCGTGTCACTTAAATTGGATGTTGTACTTCGAATAATAAGCCGTTTAGTTTTATTGTCTCACTTGGAAAACTTCCAAGTTATTGCTACCTGGATATTGTATACATTAATTTTTTTCGTGTGATCAATATAGGATACATTTGGAGTAGGCTTGCCTTGTAACAGGTTTGTCTTTTTTTGGGGCGTCATTAGTTAAAATGTTGAATTATTAAGCTCGATGTTAATACGACGACTGTATAAACTGAAATGTTTTAGCAGGTTACTACTTGGAAATTTCTGGTTTATGGTGTATTAAATGCCGTTGAAACGTTATTTGACAATGTACGAACGTGTAGTAATAATCTTTGCTTTATATTGGAATTCTTTCTTGTTTTTACAAAGAAACAATTGGAAAGTTGAAAAAAATGTTACGATTGCGATAAAGCGCTATTTATGGGCGTGTTGTAGGATTTACGGTTTTTTATTTTATATCGATTTCTCATAAATACCTTTTTTGGTCAGGGGGAGTAAATAATTAAAATGTATACACACACACCAAAAATCTAAAATCGTGTATCAATAGTAACAAAAACTAGTCGAAACTAGGTATTGAATTTGTCATTATGTTTGTTACAAAACAGAAAAAAAAGTTTGTTGTATTCTACGTCAGAGAATTGTTAACTATTCATATTTAGTTAGTGTGTTTTTACGCCTGTGAGGTATAAACTGGGAAAAATTTAACTATCTAGGCTTTTACATTACGTTTAATTTTACTAAGTGTTGGTTTTCCGTTTTCGTCTGTCTGGCAATCTGTGGTTTAATAATGTTTATATTTTTAGTCAACCGCATACGATTTATCGTCAAAATAAAGTGGAATTAAATTTATTTGTTCATCCCATGTGGAAAATTAGTGACTTCATTTATAAAATTTCTTCAGAATTTCATATTTCTTAGGATATAAATAAGTAGATCCCCCGTTTTCGTCTGTGGACGATTTTATTACACAGATAGCCGCGCTGGATTTTCGTCTGCCCATCCCTACCAACAATTTTATGACGTCATTACATCCTATTTCTATTTAAAATTGCAAAAAAAATTACAGTTTCGCTTAAAAAAACCTTCAAGGTTATCATGGACATGATGAATAGCTAAAAACTTGATGACGTCATCGCAAAATTTTGTAAATATAAATAAATCTGGCTTGACATTTATAGTGTGACATGTTCATTTATTTGTGGTGTTCTTAAATTATATATCCATATTTAGAATGACACGTATATTGATTGTCGTAAACAAATAATTTACACAAGCAAATTTTACAGGTTTCCTTTGAATCTATAAAATATTTTTTTTGTGAAATTTTGACAAGACATTGGTTTAATGATGACAGCATGTTTAAAATTTATTTATTTATCTCCCCGACAAAGTTAATGACGTCAGTACAAAAATTTAGTAAGTAATAAATGTTTATAAAAATGTACATCGAAATGTCAGATTGTTTGTGGTTTAGTAATGTATTTTTACGTTTTAGAATTTTTTATGCAGGAAAATTACATTGTATTATTTTTATCTTGAAATACCGGGTGTTTGGAAAATGGCGGATTAACTCTTCAGTACGTTATGTACGGAGGTTTCGAGAGTCCCAAAAAAAAAAGTAAAAAAAACCTGTATGATTACGGAAAAGGCGTAATTTTATAAAAGCAAAATTGGCAACACTGCTCGCACCTAACGCGTGACTGATTTCTTAGTACCGATGGTGACTGAAATTCACTTTTTATTTTTTTTAGCACAATAACCATAACAACCAGTAATCATTAATCGTGTAATTTTTCATTAATTAATAAACCAAAAGAAAATTAATGAGACATTTATAAATTGCAAACAAAAACAAAACCAACAAAGAAAAATCCATTAAAACATAACCAACTAAACACTAGAAAAGATGTTCAAAATTCCCGCCTTCTGCTCGTACAAAAATTAAGCCCGCCCACCCGCCCTATCTTTATTGTGATGATTTTTTTAATTCGCCGTGAACCAAGGGGGCAGAGCTTAACTGCAAAATACTTATTTCTTTACAAGGAATTAACATGTTTTTGAGTATCGTGTTATTCAAAGAATACTATGTACGTATATTAAGAAAAAAAGGCAAACTATAAACCACGCCCACCCACCCTATCTCAATTGTGATGATTTTTTTATTCTTAGAAACTCGAAACACGTTCAAAACGGTAAATTCTTGTAGACAAATAGGGATCTTGCGATTAAGCCCCGCCCCTGGATCTGACAACGAATGAAAAATTCATCACAATTGAGAATTTAGATCGGGGCGGGTATGGGTGGGGCTACATTTTATTTTTTTTTCTTAATATGTGCAGACTTAATTCGACAACAAGAAACTTAAAACATGTCTAAAGTGGTAATTTTCTGTAGTAATCAACTTAAATCCTCCACTTTTCTTCTACAACCCCTTTCCCTTTATATACGGCAAAAGTTTAACATCAAAATTACTATAAACAGCAACTTGGTAACAGAGTTTATAAATGACAATCTTCAGCTTTAAAAGCAACGTAAGCGGGAACAGCAACTGCAACGGGAACTTCAGCGTCAACAGCAAGTTTATAAATCCTACTTAAGACTCTTTCTTGGGTAGTACAAAGCTTTAAAAGACAACGTTTTTCGTAAAAAATTGGCCTAAGGTAATCAAATTTTCACTAAAACCAATAAAATAAGAGTGGTTCATACATACATTTTTTTGAGTCACACCCTAGAAGTAATTATAAAAACTCTGATTGCATTGATAAACCACAATGACGTCATCAATTTTTGGAATGTTTCCAAATTTTGATCATGTTTTGTAAAAGTTAATCATTTGTTGCTAAGTTAAAACTGATTTTGGCAATGACATACACTCTAAGAAAAGAGAAGGTGGGTGGGCGGGCTAGGAGCTGCCAAAATCAGACTGATTTTGCCAAATGAGATTTCTCTAAGAAAATAGAGGGCGGGGGGTGGGGCTAGTACCTGCTAAAATCAGTTTTATCTTAGCAGTTGCTAGACCCGCCCACCCACCCTTTCTTTTCTTAGAGGATATTTTATTTGCCAAAATTAGTCTTGTCCTAGCAAATAGTAGCCCCACTCACCCACCGTCTCTTTTTTTAAAGGGTATGTCAGTCGCCAAAATCAGTTCTAACTTAGCAGCTAGTAGATGGGATAAGACTGATTTTGGCAAATAACATATCCTCTAAGAAAAGAGAGGGTGGGTGGGCGGGCAGAAAGGGCAGGCAGCTGGGGCTAATATCTGTTAAGATAAGACTGATTTTAGCAAATGACGTATCCTCTAGAAAATGGAATTAAATTATTATAAGGAAAGTCACTAGTTTGTGGTCTATTAATATATTTTTACGTTTTAGAATTTTTACACAAGAAAATTACATAGTATTTTTTTATCTTAAAATATATGTAGAAGTTCTAATTTATGTAATTGAAATTGTTTGGTTGTATTTCTTCTAAATTTACAAAGTCAAATTTTGCGTCTTCCCTTTCAATCTATAAAAGACTTTTTTGTAAAATTTGGCAAGATAATAATTTAGTGGTTACAGAACAATTAAAATTTATTTAACTCCTGGAGAAAGTTAATTACATCACAAAAATGTAGTAAATAAATCTTTGTCAAAATGTACTTTGAAGTGTCAGATTGTTTGTGGTCTAGCAATATATTTTTACGTTTTAAAATTTTTTACGCAGGAAAATACGTAGTATTATTTTTATCTTAAAATACCAGGTGTCTGGAAAATGGCGGATTAACTCTTCAGTACGCTATGTACGGGGGTTTCGGGAGTCCCAAAAAAATAATAAAAACATTCTTTATGATGTAGATTACGAAAAAAGCGTAATTTTATAACTGGCAAATTGGCAACACTGCGCATATAGTGGTCCAACTCTGACTTGGTTTTTATGGCACTGAAATCTCAATTAGGGCAAGTATTAGGAACTCTATTGAAAATGTAAATAGCCGTGCCATAAATCATCTTAAAGGTTTGGTTCCTTGATGGTCCCTTGATGGTTTATGACCGCTGGGGGAAGGGCCTATTGTTGAACACTTAACCTTCACAATAGGATGCAGTCATAAAAACGAACCAGCAGTTGGAGCACTATACCTAATGTATGAATACCTCAGGCTTACTTTCTGATTTCTTAGTACCGATGGTGATTGAAATCCACTTTTATTATTTTTTTTGGGACAATAACCATAACAAGCAGTAGTCATTAATAATAAACAAAAAAAAAAAATTACTAAGACATTTAAAAATTACAAGCAAAAACAAAACCAACAAAAGATAAATACATTAAAACATAACAAACTAAACATTTGAGAAGATATTCAAATCAAAATACCTGCCTTGTAATAAGACTGATTTTGGCCGATGAGATAGCTTCTAAGAGAAGACAGGGTGGGTGGGCGGGGTAGTACCTGCTAGGATAAGACTGATCGTGGCAAATGAGATGTCTCTAAGAAAATAGAGGGCGGATGGGCGGGGCTAGTACCTGCTAAAATCAGTTTTATCTTAGCAGTTACTAGCTCCGCCCACCCACCCTCTCTTTTCTTAGAAAGTATGTCATTTGCCAAAATAAGCTTTTTCTTAGCAGCGACTAGCCCCTCCCACCCACCCTCTCTTTTCTTACAAGCTATCTCATTTGTCAAAATTGGTCTTATTATTAGCAGGTACTAGCCCCGCCCACCCTCCCTCTCTTTTCTTAGAGGGTGTGTCATTTGCCAAGATCAGTTTTATCTTAGCAGCTACTAGATAGGATAAGACTCATTTTGGCAAATGACGTATCCTCTTAAGAAAAGAGAGGGTGGGTGGGCAGGGCTAGTACTTGTTAGGATAAGACTGATTTTGGCAAATGACATATTCTTTAAGAAAATAGAGGGCGGGCAGCTGGGGCTAGTATCTGTTAAGAGAAGACTGATTTTAGCAAATGATGTATCCTCTAGAAAATGGAATTAAATTATTATAAGGAAAGACACTAGTTTGTGGTCTATTAATATGTTTTTACGTTTTAGAATTTTTTACACAAGAAAATTACATAGTATTTTTTTTATCTTAAATATAAAAGTTACTATGAACAACAAAATTCGCAGAATTAGCGTTTCTAATTTATGTAATTGAAATTGTTTGGTTGTATTTCTTCTAACTTTACAATTTTGGATCTATAAAAGACTTTTTTGTGAAATTTGGCAAAATAATGATTTAGTGGTTACAGAACAATTAAAATTTATTTATTTATCTCCGCGAGAAGGTTAATGACGTTATCACAAAAATATAGTAAATAAGTGTTTGTAAAAGTGCACTTCGAAATGTCAGATTGTTTGTGGTCTAGTAATATATTTTTACGCTTTAGAATTTTTTATACGAGAAAATTACATATAGGCCAGTGCCGAAGTCTTTGAAAATGGTAAAAAGTGAAAAAAATACAACAGGATGATACCCATTGGAAAAGGAAGAAAATGTAGCAAAAATAAAAAGAAAAATAATTTATGGGCGATCTGAGGTCGGGAAGTGGAAGGGGGTGAGCTTTTAAGGGTAGAAAACGGTTTATCACGATTTCCGGCAAAACTACAAGTCCTATCGAAAAAAAGTTAAATAGCAAAGTTGTAGGTAATAAAAAGATCTACAACTTTTGTATTTACACTGTTTTTACATAACCTCAAAATTCATGCGAAAAATGCATATAACCGAGTTTTTTTGGTTTTTTAATTTAATCTCCCACAAAAAAAATACGAAATTTGGTCAAAACTTACCTATTTATGTCCCAAATTCACTGTAATTTTTTTTATTCAAAATATTTATTATTTCCCCTTATTTTGATTTAATATCGAAAAAGCACCCTAATTTTGAATCGAAAATTCTCACGTCACAATATCTGTTGTTTTTTTTTTTTTTTTTAATCGGTGTGCTTTTTGTTCGCTGAAATCTCTACAAAAAATATGCATTACTAGGCAAATTTTCACAGGAAGTGCAAAAAAACGAAAAAACTCGAATTCAATTTTTTTTTATATCATGTAAAATTTGGAGCTACATATTTATTAAAATTTACACTTTAATTACTCGAAAAACGTAAGATTTCATGTTACATTGATAAACTAAAAAATTGCAAATCGACATATACTACTATCATTAACAACAAATAAGTTAATAAACTTGATACTCTATTATAAGACATCTACAATATTTTGAGAAAGTTGTATTATAATTTTTAAATTCTATGCGTAGGTGCCTATTTATTGCTATTTTAAGATGACTTAAACAGCGTTTATAAAAATACACGTTCAGGCTGAGTTAAGACTTGAAGAGAATCGTGACGAATTGACTTATTTAAAAAAACTTTTGGAATCTACAGTCTCAAGGATTTTCCTGTAAACAAGCAAATGAAGATGCTGCTGCTGACATAAGGCCTCGATACAAACTGCCAGAGATACTAATAAAACTGTCATAGTTATGGGTCAAGATATTGACTTTTGGCCCTTTTCAATCAATTGAATTCAAATAATTATGACATTTATTTTCTCAAGCCAGGTTCTGGAAATGTAAAAGATCTATTTTTCACGTCCAATAGTTTCAAATATGAATCCTTCAAAAATATCGTTGCATTTCTGCATTGTTTTTTTGATTGCGATACAACATCTGGATTTGCCGGAAAAGGAAAGAAAAACATCCTAAATTCATTATCTAATATATAAAATTCTCGTGTCACGATCATCGGTTTTTATGAAATTTTTTGTATATATTCGGTAGGTCTAAAAATAGGTCGTAAACTATTTGTTATACCCCTAAGTGATAAGGGTGGCCCACCCAAAATTTTTTTTTGTTTTGGACAAATTTTTTATTTTTTTAAGATTTGGTATCAAAAAATACATATAACCCTAAATTTTCACCCTTCCACCACCAACCTCCATTTTTTAATAACGATATGAGTATCTTTACTTTCATCTACAGATGCGCAATAGGGTTGTAAGATGGCTGTTGAATATAATCATTGTCGTACGATAAATTTTTATGTATAATTTATAACTTAATTTAATTATAATTTATTTATTCATTTTAATTTAATTTTGTATTAAACTGCCAGAATAATCCCTAGAAATAATTTATATGACAAAACAACGTTCACCAGGTCGGCTTGTTAGACGATAAACATTTGTCAAATTTGGCCAATATTTTTTATAAAAAAATTGGCAAGAGTTAAATCATCTTTCATATTGGCAAATCTCCCAACAGAAGGCGTTTGTTTCATGGATTTGCAATTTTTTAGCTTATCAATGTAACATGGAATCTTACTTTTTTCGAGTAATTAAAGTGTAAATTTTAATAAATAGCTCAAAATTTTACATGATTAAAAAAAATTTTTCAAGTTCGAGTTTTCCGTTTTTTTTCCTGTGAAAATTTGCCATTGTAATGTTTATTTTTTTTACACCATCAGAAAGTAGAGCTTTCAACGAACCAAAAGCACACTGATTTTTTTTAAAAAGCAGATATTTTGACGTGAGAATTTTCGATTGAAAATTAGGGTGTTTTTCGATATTAAATCAAAATAAAAGGAAAAAATAACTATTTTGAGTAAAAAAAAAAATACAGTGAGTGTGGGACATAAATGGGTAAGTTTTCACCAAATTTCGTGAAAAAAAAATGTTTGTGGGAGATTAAAATAAAAAACCAAAAACTCGGTTATTTAGATTTTTCGCATAAACTTTGAGGTTATGTGAAAAAAGTGTAAATACAAAAGTTGTATATCTTTTTATTACCTAGAACTTTGCTATTTAACTTTTTTCGATAGGACTTGTAATTTTGCCGGAAATCGTGATAAACCCTTTTCTACCCTTAAACCTCACTCCCTTCCACTTTCCGACCTCAGATCGACCATAAGTTATTTTTCCTTTTATTTTTGTTATATTTTCTTCCAGATTTTGGGGATTTTCAGCTGGCTTTTGCGCCAACAATATTGATCTGAGGGAGTTAATTTTTTTCAGGCATTTAGTACTTATACAAGAGAAAGTATAACGGAAGTTTTAAGTTCCTGGAGCATCATTTTCTTGGAGAAAAAATTGCTTGAAATATGTAAACTTTCAAAAACAGCTTACTTTACGTGAAATTGTTATGTTGAGGAAAAAATACAAATTTTAAACTTTCAGGAAATGTAGTCCCTACGTTCGTCTTTTTACGCCAGTAAATCCTCTCTTGTTATTTTCGTCTCACTGCTAAGAGATACAATTTTTTTTAATTTCATTTTCATATGAAACGACCCCATAGTATGATTTTATTTTAATATCGAGGCGTTGTTATAAAAAATAAAACTTGCTTTCACTAAAGTTCCGTGGTGCTGGTAAAGCAATAATTTGAAAAAATACCGCTTCAGAACGTCACACTAAATATAATTTTTAAGCCATCCATTGTACTTAATTTTAACATTTGAGTGTTTTCGTCGGCTAGTTGATACGCTGTGATGTCTTGTAGGACCTCCGAATCCAGACAACGTCCCCGAAGACGGCAAGCTGAAGAGCGAGATGATGATAAAGGACAACCGACGCTATTACCTCGACCTGAAGGAGAACTCGCGGGGTCGTTTCCTCCGCGTCTCCCAGACGATAACCCGCGGCGGTCCCCGCTCGCAGGTGGCCATACCGGCGCAGGGAATGATCGAATTCCGCGACGCCCTCACCGATCTTCTAGACGAGTTCAGCGCCGACGAGCACGCGTACAAACCCGACCTGCCCGAAGGCCGGCACATGCACGTCGACAACAAGAACTTCTACTTCGACATCGGCCAGAACAATCGCGGTGTCTATATGCGTATATCGGAAGTTAAGACGAACTTTCGTACGGCCATCACGGTCCCGGAGAAGAGCTGGCCTCGGTTCAGGGATATATTGGCCGACTATTGCGATAAGATCAAGCAGCAGCCGACGACGACCGCGGGCTCCGGGGGCGGAAGTGGCGTCTCCAACGTCGGCGGCGGCGGGATCTCGTCCGACCAACCGCATCCGCTGGTAAGTCTTTGACATTTTGTGGGTGCGGACACTAAGACAACGGTTTTTGGTTGTAACTGCGGGCGGTGGTGGTAAAATTTGTCTTTATTATCGGAGCAATAGAAGTTGAATTTTCACGTCCCTAGCGCATAAAAAAAGTAGATCTCCCGTTTCCGCTTGTCTGTTTTATTACATTTATTTGATCGCCCCCATCAGCAACTTGATGATGTCATCTCAAAATTTTGCGAAGTAGTTCGCATGTTTTAGATTTGTTTCAGGTGTCTCATAAAAATTAATGGATGAAGCAGTTTATTTTATTGATTAAGTCACCTCATTTTTCTGAAATTCTGGGAATACAGTGTTGCTTATTAGTCTTACACTGCGCCTATCCAAATTGATATATTTATCCCTACCAAAGAGTTCTCAAAGTTGGAAACAAGAAATAACCTAAGGGTGTCAAATCAGGTGATCGAGGTGGGTAGACAAGGTCTATCGTCATAAAATTTCCCTTAATAAGTTCGAACTTGTTTGAGCTGTTGTGCCGTCATGCTGAAAATATTCAACCTGGTCAATAAATTCCTGCAGCATATTCTGGGATAATGAGGATTTTCTGCTCTCCAGAGCCTCATATTTTGCAAGTTTACATAGCTTAATAGATGAAACCAGGCTTCATCTCTAAAAAATATATCTAGACGATCATTGTCCATTGTTTGATTAAACCAGCTACAATAAATCATTCTCTTTTCATAATCAATTTAACAATTTTCTGACAAGTTGGATATGACAAGCCAACTTTCTACGAAATCTTAAAAATGTCTGGGGTTATCAACGTTATCATCCATAATCTGTCGGACATTTTCAACATCCTCGGGAGTTTTTTTGTTAATGTACGACTTCTTGATTTCCTTTTAATGCTACCAATCTGTCGAAATAATTGTATCATAACTGTGTGCCCTTAAAAACTTAGCTTCAGGAAGAGCGACACTGGGGAATTTTTCACGAAATTTGCAAAAACAGGGCTTTTCCGATTTTTTGAATTTCGACTGTTCGATTTTTCGACATTTCTGATTTTGATTTTTCGGCTTTTCGATTTTTACGTTTTAAAATTTTTCATTTTTCGCTTTTTGAATTTCTCGATTTTTCAATTTTTAATTTTTCGATTTTAGCCTATTTCTTGATGTTTCGATTTCTGGATGTTTCGATTTCGAGATGTTTCAATTTTATAATTTCCCGATTTCTCGGTTTTTTGATTTTTTGACTTTGATTCTTCGCTTTTTTTTTCAATTTTTAGATTCTTCAATTTTTAGGTTTTTTAAATTTTAGATTCTTCGATTTCCAGATATTAATTTTTTTTAGTATATATGTATTTCGAATTTTAAAATTTTTCAACTTTACGTTTTTTCGATTTCTCGATATTTCAAGTTCTCGATCTCTCAGTTTTCAACATTTCAATTTTGGGAATTTTTCATTTCCTGGATTTTTCAGTTTTTCGATATTTTCATGTTTCTATTTTTTAAATTTCGACCGTTCGATTTTTCATTTCTGGTTTTGATTTTTGGGTTTTTCGATTTTTACGTTTTAAAATTTTTGATTTTTCGCTTTTTAAATTTCTCGATTTTTCAACCTATCGACTTCTTGATTTTTCGATTTTTTGATGTTTCGATTTCGAGATGTTTCAATTTCTCGATTTCTCGTTTTTTTTTATTCTTCGACTTTTCGATTTATTCAATTTTTCAACATTTCAGTTTTGAGATTTGTCAGTGTTTCGATCCTTTGATTTTTCGATTTTCCAAATTTTGGATTTCTAGTTTTTTTAGTTTTTTGGTCTTATCGATTTCTCAAGTTTCCAAGTTTTCGATTTCTTAATTTTTCAACATTCCAATTTTGGGAATTTTTTCAATTTCTGAATTATTCATTTTTTCGATATTTTCATTTTTCTATTTTTTAAATTTTAGATTTTTGATTTCTCGATTTCTAGTGATTCGATTTTTTTAATTTTACATTTTTTTTACATTTTCGATTTTTCAAAATTTTGCGTTCTTTTTGGCCTACCTCGATTTTGGATCTTCCGCCTTACCGATTTCTCGTTTTTTGAATTTTTCGATTTCTCAATTCTTTCATTCATCCTCAGTATTGAGATTTTAAAATATTTCAATATATGAATTTTTCGATTTTTCAATTTTTCAAAATTTTTCGACTTTCGAAATCTTAAATTTTTTAAATTCTTGTAAGGGTTATTCATTTTTTTGATGTTTCAATTTCTCCATCCTTCGGTTTTTCGCCTTCACGCTTTTATTTATTTATTTTTTTTGTTTTTCAATTGTTTATTTATTGGTTTTAGGAATTTAAAATTATCAATTTTCAATTTTTGGCCTACTTCGATTATTCAATTTTTCGATTCTTCGACGTTTCAACTTCTTTTCTCGATCTCTTGATATTTTGATTTCGAAATGTTTTAATTTCCCAATTTCTCGGTTTTTTGATTCGACTTTTTGATTCTCCGCTTTTTCTTTTTCAATTTTTAGTTTCTTTCATTTTTCGATTTTTTAAATTTTGATGTTTCGATTTCCAGATATTAATTTTTTTAGTATTACATATTTCGAATTTTAAAATTTTTCAACTTTCCGTTTTTTCGATTTCTCGATATTTCAAGTTTTCGATTTCTTGGTTTTCAACATTTCAATTTTGGGAATTTTTCAGTTTTTCGATATTTTCATTTTCCGATTTTTTAAATTTCGACTGTTCGATTTTTTGACACTCCTGATTTTGATTTTTCATTTTTCGATTTTTACGTTTTAAAATTTTTGATTTTTCGCTTTTTAAATTTCTCGATTTTTCAATTTTAATTTCTCGATTTTGGCCTACTTCGATTATTCAATTTTTCGATTCTTCGACGTCTCGACTTCTTTTCGAGATCTCTTGATATTTTGGTTTCGATTTGATTTCAATTTTTCAATTTCTCGATTTCTCGGTTTTTTGATTCTTCGACTTTTTGATTCTCCGCTTCTTCTTTTTCAATTTTTAGATTCTTCAATTTTTCGATTTTTTAAATTTTAGATTCTTCCATTTCCCGATTTCTAATTTTTTAGTTTTTTAAATTTTGATGTTTCGATTTCTCGATATTTCAAGTTTTCGATCTCTCAGTTTTTCATTTCTTGGATTTTTACGTTTTTCGATATTTTCATTTTCCGATTTTTGAAATTTCGACTGTTCGATTTTGCGACATTTCTGATTTTGATTTTTCGCTTTTTAAATTTCTCGATTTTTTAATTTTTAGATTTTGGCCTATTTCGATTTTTCAGTTTTTCGATTTCGAGATGTTCCAATTTTTCAATTTCTCGATTTCTCGGTTTTTTGATTCTTCGACTTTTCGATTTTCCAAATTTTCGATTTCTAGTTTTCTTAGTTTTTTGATCTTTCCGTTTTCTCGATTTCTCAAATTTTCAAGTTTTCGATTTATTAATTTTTCAACATTTCAATTTTGGAATTTTTTTCAATTTCCAAATTTTTCAATCTTTTTATTGTAAATTTTTCGATTTTTAGTTTCTCGATTTTTCAATTTTAAATTCTATTTTTTATTTTTTAAATTTTAGATTTTTCGATTTCTCGATTTCGAGTGTTTCGATTTCTTAAATTTTAGATTTTTCAGTTTCAAGATTTTACAATTTTTTGATGTTTCGATCTTTCGATTTTTTACTTTTTCGATTTTTCAAAATTTTGCGTTCTTTTTGGCCCACCTCGATTTTGGATTTTCCGTCTTACGATTTTTCGATTTCTCAATTCTTTCATTCATTCTCAGTTTCGGGATTTTAAAATATTTCAATATATCAATTCTTTGATTTTTCAATTTTTCAAAATTTTTCGACTTTTGAAATCTTTAGAATTTTTAAATTCTTGTAAAGGTTATTCATTTTATTGATGTTTAAATTTCTCCATCCTTTGGTTTTTCGCCTTCACGCTTTTTTTTGGTTTTGCAGTTCTTGATTTATCGGTTTTTTTGAGTTTAAAATTTTCAATTTTTGGCCTACTTCGATTATTCAATTTTTTGATTCTTCGACGTTTCAACTTCTTTTCTCGATTTTTCGGTTTTTTGATTCTCCGCTTTTTCTTTTTTAATTTTGTTTCTTCAATTTTTCGATTTTTTAAATTTTGATGTTTCGATTTCTAGATAGAAATTTTTTTAGTATATACTTCGAATTTTAAAATTTTTCAACTTTCCTTTCGATTTCTCGATATGAGTTTTCGATCTGAGTTTTTCAACATTTCAATTTTGGCAATTTTTCATCTCTTGGATTTTTCAGTTTTTCGATATTTTCATTTGCCGATTTTTTAAATTTCGACTGTTCGATTTTTCGACATTTCTGATTTTGATTTTTCAGTTTTTCGATTTTTACGTTTTAAAATTTTTGATTTTTCGCATTTTAAATTACTCGATTTTTCAATTTTAATTTTTCGATTTTGGCCTATTTCGAATTTTCAGTTTTTCGATTCTTCAACCTCTCGACTTCTCGATTCTTCGATTTCGAGATATTTCCATTTCTCGGTTTTTTGATTCTTCGATCCTTTGATTTTTCGATTTTCCGTATTTTTTATTTCAAGTTTTTTTAGTTTTTTGGTCTTATCGTTTTCTCGATTTCTTAATTTTTCAACATTTCAATTTTGGGAATTTTTTCAATTTCTGAATTTTTAAATATTTTGATATTTTCATTTTTCAATTTTTTTATTGTTAATTTTTCGATTTTTTGTTTTTCGTTTTTCAGTTTTTAGATTCTGCTATTTTTTAAATTTTAGATTTTTCGATTTCTAGTGTTTCGATTTTTCAATTTTATATTTTTCAGTTTTAAGATATCACAATTTTTTGATGTTTCGATTTTTCGGTTTTTTACTTTTTCGATTTTTCAAAATTTTGCGTTCTTTTTGGCCTACCTCGATTTTGAATTTTCGCCTTACGGATTTCTCGATTTTTGAATTTTTCGATTTCTCAATTCTTTCATTCATTCTCAGTTTTGGGATTTTAAAAT